CATTGCCTGAGTGCCACACGCGCCCAGGCACCTGGGGCCCCGTCTGCCCCGTTGCTTGGTTCTCACGGAGGCACATCACTGTCCTCTTTCCACATGGCCACCTGCTGGCCTCGGGGCCAGGGAGCTCAGGCAACCCAGTGGAGGCTGGTTCTGGTGCTGGTGGCGTTGACCTGTGGGGCATGGTAGCTGTCAGGAGGGAGACCTGCCGGGGACCATGCCGTGGGTCTCTCCCAGGCCCGGCTGAGCGGTGCCAAGCTGCTATGATACTCTCCCTTCCTCACTCTCTCTCCCGGCTTTGCCTCCAGCCGTCTGGGTAAGCCTCCCCCAGCCCCCTTCCTGGCCTCTCGGACCCCTCCGCTTCCCCTGCCCTGCTCTGCGGCGGAGAAAGCTCCTCCCCCTCCAAGCCGCGTCCTCCCTGCCTGCCTGCCCGACCTCCCTCCAGCCCTGACACCCCTACGCTCTGCCCCCACTGACAGGGAGTCTGGACGTGGGGTCCCTCGTCCCAGGAAGGACCTCTGGTTCTCTCCGCGGCTGAGCCGCTCCCTGCTCCGCGTCTCCTCTGTGCTTCGGTTCCACAGAGGCCGTAGGTTTCCACGCGGGTGTCTCCACTCCTGACAACGCCCTTTGGGAAGGCACAGCACCCACTTTCCCATCCTCGTGGAGTGGTGGGAAGTCTGCTCTGAGATGCTCTGAATAAATGCTGATACTAACAAAAGGTGGCTTTCTCAGGGGTTCAGTTCAGAGCACCAGCTTGGACCCAAGGATCCGAGAGGAGGTGACGCGCTATGGTCGGATAAGGCCTGTGGCGCTGCCGATGCAGACGGACAAGGGCTTCTGGTTTTCTAACTTTATTTACCAGAGAGGCAGTGAGAGGGGAGTGAGGGAGCAAGGGGTGGGGGGGAGAGAGAGCGAGAGAGAGGGAATTGCCATCCACTGGGCTGGGCCAACGCTAGGAGCTGGGAACTTACCCCAGGCCTCCCGAGTGTGGCAGGGACACACTTACTTGGGCCATCACCTGCACTCAGAACCCGGATCTGGGCACGGAGCTCAGGCACCTGATGGGCCCACGTCTGGGCTAAACGCCGCCCAGACGAGAGCCTGTGAAGTGAATCATGCTGCACGCAGGGCCCAGGGGCTGCCCAGAGCTCAGTCATCTCATGGCTGGAGTGAATTTAGGGCAGACTTGTTAGTATTTAAGTGATTATGTGTTAGGGATGGGTCAAAATCGTTCTAAATAATTCCAAATGAGCTCTCATATGGTTTGAAACATAACAAAGAGGAAACAGTTGTAAGGATGGACTGCACCCTTTCTGTTGCTTTTGCTTTTTCCTTCCTTCCTTCCTTCCTTCCTTCCTTCCTTCCTTCCTTCCTTCCTTCCTTCCTTCCTTCCTTCTTTCTTCTTTCTTTCCCTTCCTTTCTCTCCCTTTCTTTCTTTCTCTCTTTCTCTCTTTCTTTCTTTCTTTCTTTCTTTTAGCCAATGTGAGGTTCACACAACAGGCCGAGGAGGTGAGGTCACTCTGGCACTGGGAGTATGGCAGGCACTACTACGGTTTGCGGAAAGTGCCCGAGGCACCAACATTCTCCTCTCTGGCAGCATTCTTTCTTTATTTTATTAAGATTTACTTATTTATTTGAAAGGCAGAGTTACAGAGAAAGAGAGGGAGAGACAGAGAGAGATCTTCCATCCACTCCCCAAATGGCCCCAATGGCCAAGGCTGGGTCAGACCAAAACTAAGAGCCAGGAGCTTCTTCCAGGTCTCCCACGTGGGTGCAGGGGCCCGAGCTCTGGGGCCATCTTCCGTTGTATTCCCAAGCACACTATCAGGGAGCTGGATGGGAAGTGGAGCAGCTGGGACTTGAACTGGCGCCTGTGTGGGATGCTGGTGCTGCAGGCAGCAGCTGTCCCCATTACCACACAATGCCAGTCCCTGAAGCACTCTTGACAGAGGTGCTCCTTATGGGCAGCCAGCAATGGTGGGTTTAAAAACAAGGTGTCCGAAGATTTTCCCTACTGTTTCATCCCGAGAGTGATTGATACAGCCCAGCCTGTCCCATGAGTGCTTGGCCAACACCTCCTTTCAGTCCACAGCTTGTCTCTTCCCCCTCCTCACTGGGCTGTTCATACGGCAAACTTTTTTTTTTTTTTAATTTGATGAGGTCCACTTTTTTTTTTTTTTTTTTTTTTTTTTTTTTTTTTTTTACAGAGTGGACAGTGAGAGAGAGAAAGACAGAGAGAAAGGTCTTCCTTTTGCTGTTGGTTCACACCTCCTCCGGCGTGCTGTGGCCGGCGCATCACCGTGATCCGAAGCCAGGAGCCAGGTACTTCTCCTGGTCTCCCATGGGGTGCAGGGCCCAAGCACTTGGGCCATCCTCCACTGCACTCCCGGGCCACAGCAGAGAGCTGGCCTGGAAGAGGGGCAACCAGGACAGAATCCGGCGCCCCGACCGGGACTAGAACCCCGTGTGCTGGCGCCGCAGGTGGAGGATTAGCCTACTGAGCCGTGGCGCCAGCCAGAGGTCCACTTCTTTTTATGGGACCTGCTTTTGGTGTTGAGCCTAAGAACTGTTCACCTAATCCCAAGGTTTCGTATTTTTTTGTTCAAGTTCATGTTCATTTTGAGTAAATACTTGTGACGTTTAAGGAGAGACTCGTTCTCTTCGCTCATGGATAAAAAACTACTTTTCAGAAGTTCACCTTTGATTGTGCTGAGTGTAAAAGGCTTCACCAACAAGAAAATGTTAATGTGCAAGAGTAAAACTCCCTCATGTGTATTTAAGGGAAAATAAGCTTAGAATAATATTGAAATTACTCCGATCCTCCTCATGCATGGGCGCTTCAAAACTATCCTGCAAAGTGCGAGCAGGACTATAAAAGCTCGCTGTACGGAGCGAGGGTGAGCTTCCTGCTTCTGGGACAAGGTAGGACTTTTGGGGGCGCAGGCAGACAGGACAGTCTCACGGGCTGCTTTCCTGGACATGGGCAGGGCCTGGGAAGACCGGGCCTGCTGCTCACAGGGGAAGGAGAGAGAGGCTGAGCCTCAGGCAGCTGAGTTGTTAGCTGGCCCCGGAGGAGGCCCAGGGGCTGGGAGAACCGAGTTGCCGGTTGTGGTGGAATGAGAAGGCCATGCCAAGATGGCCACTGGCAAGCCAGCATCAGTTACTCAGGAACGGCTTCAAAGCCCACCTGGCAACAGAGCCTGCCTGGCAACAGAGCCTGCCTGGTAACAGGCTGTGATTGGTTAGGGCATAGACTGCCCCCTGACCGGATTGGCTGCCTTGGCTATATAAGCTGCTGTACCAACTGAAATAAACGAGTCTGCGGGCTGCTCGCCTCTGGCCTGCTTTCACCCAACTCCCGGGGTCTGTGTGGTGACTCCGTGCCTCTTGCCCCCACCACATTCCTCCTCTCACAACAAATCCACCTCAACACCAGGTGGCAGGCAGGAGACTGGGCTTGGTTCCATCGCAGGACTGTCCCTGGGGTGGCTTCCCCAGGAGGCACGTGACTCAGGGAGACACTGCTCACACTGGATTAACTCCTGGGTGGGGGGACTTGGCTGTGAGCTGCGGCACTGACACCCTGGGTCGCTGAGGGTGAATGCCTCGGTCCTGCAGGAGACATGGGGTGGGGGCTCAGGTGGACAGCTACACAGGGGTTTGGGGCTGTGGCCTGGGAGCTCTCTCCTTTGGTTCACATAGCGAGTGACAAGGCACACGGTTAGAGAAAGGGGTGGGGGAAGACGAGAGATCTGTGGCTTGTCCCAGGGTAGGGGACGAGTTGTCCCCAGCCGTGCAGCTGCCACCATGCCAGGGGCCGTTGTCCACAAGGAGCTTGAGTCTGCGTCGTGTCCCTGTGGGATGCAGGTGGCCGTTAGGCATTGCCACTGCACATTCTCCTTCTTTGCTTACAACGTCTGAGTCCTCAGCCTGGTCCTGTCCTGAGTGGTCGCAGAAGCCCGCTGTGACAGGGCGCTGGGGTTCAGGCTGCCATTCCCTGAGAAAGTCACGGGATCCACATTCTGCGTCCTGCTGAGTGGGCAGCGCGGCCTTGCTCCCTGTGCCACAGCTGGGTCGGCCTCCAGCAGCCACTCTGGGTCCTATCCTTAGGGACCACTCCCGAGGGCCGACTGGGATGAGGCGCAGAGGGCCACAACCTGGGGGGACCCACCCTCGAGGGGTGACACACGCCGGGGTCAGAGCAGGACGGGGATCTTCAGAGGGTGGTCAGCTGTGCAGGACGTCTGACCGTCGTGCCTGGGACGATGCCACTGCTAAACCCGGGCCCTGGTGCCCAGGGAAGGAGTTCACACAGGGAGCTCACTGCAGCCCGGGACGCACCTCTCACATGCGTACAGATGAAGGCCCTGCAGGTACCAGCCCAGGGTAGGAGCCCCTGACTCACCACGGACGCCACCAGGGGAGGCCCGGCCCATGTGACACCAGGTGGGCTCTGGTGTCCTCGGGTAGGAAGCAGCAAACACTGCTCACATGGACCCGAGATGGCAATGCTTTAGTTACCTTCACTTTCCTGTGTTACTTGTCTGTCAAGTATTTCTCTCCCTCTCTCTACACTTGTGGGAAAACACGTGGGACAGTTTATCTTGAAGAATGAAAACTCAAACTTTTCACAGGTAGGGATCTTCCAAAATTCATGAAAAAGCAACATTAAAAGATAAGCTTGTTTTGGTGTAAGGTTTTTGCTATCCGCGCATAGTTTTTCACAATACTCATTTTCCGTGAACTCTCGGAAGCCCCTCTGTGTGTGCACAGACACAGGGTCTCCGAGCCGCTGGGCTGCTCCTTATCCTCGTAGATATTAAGTCCTAGAAATGATGGCAACTTGCTCATCGATTATATAAACACAAAACTGTGGTTAGACAGGAGGAACAGCTGCCTGTGACGTCAGTGTCAGGAGATCTGAGGGTATCCCATCAAATCAAGCCAGAAAAGTCGCTAATAATCAAATACAATTTCTAAAATCCCATATGCAAACTCTTTACCTTTATTTTGTCCTTTGCTGCCTTCTTTTCCATCTCCTTTTTTGGTTTCTTGGGTTTCTTTTCCTTTTCTTTTTCCTTTTCTTTTTTCTTCTTTTTGTTTTTTTCTTCTTCTTCTTGGCTTGCAATGATATCATCAATAACCTGGGGAAAAAAAAAAAACAAAACAGTGGTAGCATTTGAGCCGACCCCTTTCAAGAGGAGGGCTGATCTTCCCATCTGGGAGGACGATTTTACCGGTCAGCAGCCCTCTGCTGCCCTGCTCTGCACCCCGGAGGCCGACCCTACAGGGGCACCACACGGTCTGCCGGATGTCAGAGGGCCGACATTTCTGAGGGCTCTGGAGCTTCCCTGGCTCTCAGGGGTCCCACGGAGGTCAGCAGAGGCCACAGCCTCCTGAGCATGCCAGCCCTGCCCACAACCCTCCGAAGTCCAGCTCAGGACACCTTCTGTGTCCTGCCTGCGCCCAGCCGGCAACAGGTGCTCCCGAGATAACTCCCTTTGTATGAATGACCACACGCCTGGTCTCACAGTCGGCCTCACTCACTCATAATGTGTATTTCCTACAGCCCCACAGACCACTCATTCTAAAATTTACAGCCTATGTTAAAGCGCCTTGTTCACACAGGATTAATGCTACTGGAGAATCGGCAGATTTGTAACAACAACAAAACCCGCATACACCACATTCCAGTACAGCAGGGGTTTACTGAGGACATGCTCACTGCCACAGAGCTGTGAATTCTGGGAGACACCACGGGGGAGCTGCTGGACCCCCTCCTGGTGGGCCCTGGGCTCTGCTCTTCCCTGGTCACGTGACGGAAAAAGCTCCCATTTCTTCCGCTGCAGAACGAGGCTGGGGCTTCCACCCAGAGCTCTGATGCTACGCCAGGCCCTGCTCCGAGAGCCTCAGAAACACCACCTCACTTGCTGTCAAACACACAGTCTCTCTCTTCACACACACGCGCGCGCACACACACACACGCGTGCTCTATTACAGATGACGGAACTGGAACACGAAGTTCAGGAACTTGGCCGAGTACACACCGCCACGCAGCGGAGCTGGGTTCTGCTAACTGGGATGAATTTCTCAATGGTGAAAGAAAGAGGCAAGGTGCAGAAGAACGCGCGTGGATGTAGTCGACGGCACGAAACGCACACGGGGAAACTAAACGCGCACGCTCCGCGTGTCAGGGTCGCGCACGCCCCGCGAGTCAGGGTCGCACACGCTCCGCGTGTCAGGGTCGCACACGCTCCGCGGTGTCAGGGTCACGCACGCTCCGCGTGTCAGGGTCGCGCACAGGGAGTCCGCACAGGAAACGCATCCCGCGGCGTGATGTCCTCCCGGCTCACCCGTGTGGTCACCAATGACGGTGTCCCTCCTAAACGGCAGGACGGACTCCCACTGTGCACAGGAGCTGTCTTCATCCACTCGCTCTGGCACGCGCCCAGGTCGTCTGCGTGTCTGCCTGTCTCACATCACTCCTGCGGTGCGAGTCACGCGCCAGGGGCCACATTTCCAGTGCTCATTTCCGTTCCTCTGGAAAGCCCCCTGTAGTGTCGCTGGTCACGCAGCGGCTCCGTTTTCAGTGTGCAGAGGAGCCCATGCCCTCGCCCATCGTGGCTGCATCCCTGCCAAGTGAGCTCCCGCCGCTCCGCGTCCTGGCCCACGCCTGCGTAACTTTTTGATACACGTCCATTTCTTCTACAGTATGAAATACACATAAATAAAAAACGCAAACAGCCAAACAGGCGTGAGGCGGCACCTCGCTGTGCCTGGACCTTGCACGGTCCTGTGATGCCAGGGCTCTGTTCAGCCGGCTGTTGGCCATTTGGAAGTCTTCCTTGGAGAAAAGTCAACCAGGTCCTTCGCCAATCCCTCCCTCCGTCGGTTACGTGTCTTGAGCTCCGCGCATATTCTGACACAGGACGCTTACCAGGCTGTGGCTTGCAGACGGGGTCTCTCCAGCCTGCGGATTCCTTTGCTATGTAGCAGTTTTAGCTGGAGTCGATCCTTCTGCCTCCTTACCCCTGTGTTGCCCGGGCTTTCAGGCCCATAGTTAGAAAGTCTTTGCCCGGACCACGTCGTGAGCGCATCTCTGTTTTCTTCTAGAGTTCACCTGTCAGGTCTTACGTTCACGTATTCAATGCACTCTGGGTTGACTGCTGTGTGTGGTGTGAGACAAGGGCCTGACCGACGCTCTGCCTGAGGGCATGCAGTGTCCCCAGCACCACCTGTCAGAGACTGACCTGTCACTGCGTATCTCCAGCATCGCTGCTGACCGCCAGTGGACTGCAGCGCGTGGGGTATTTCTGGACTCTCCACTTGGTTCTGCTGGTCTGCTTTTACGACAGCATCATACTGTTTGATTGTGGTAGCTTCGTGATGTACTGCAAAGTCAGCCGGTGCGATGTCTAGCACTTTCCTCTTTTTGCCAAGACTGCTTTGGCTGTTTGAAGTCTTTTGTGGTTTCCCATAAATTTCAGGTTTCTTTCTATCTCTGTGAACAATGTCCTTAGAATTTTGACAGGGATCGCATTGAATCTGCAAATCACCTGGGTACTATGAACATTTTAACAATATTATTTCTTCCAACCTAAGATCATGAACTATCTTTCCACTTCCTGTGACTTTTTCAAATTAATTTATCAATGTTTTATAGTTTATATTGTAGAGATCATCCTTGCTTAGGGTTGTTTCTAAGTTCTCTTTTTAAAAGCTACTTATTTATTTATTTGGTGGGGGGGGGGAAGGAAAGAGAGAGAGAGAGAGAATCCTCCACCTGCTGGTTCACTCCGCCAGGTGCTCACAACAGCCAGGGCTGGGCCAGGCTGAAGCCCAGAGCCAGGAACTTCCCCTGGCCTCCCACGTGGCGGCAGGACCCTACGTACTTGGGCCCTGTCTGCTGTCTCTCAGGCTGACCAGCAGGAGCTGGAATGGAAATGGGGGTGGGACTCGGTCCCAGGCGCTCCGAGATGGGATGTGGGTGTCCCGAGTGGCAGCTTAGCTCACTCCGCTACAACTCCTGCCCCAAATTTTATGGTTCATATTGTAAATGAGATTGTTTTTCATTTCTTTTTTTGGATGTAGAATTAATTTCTTTTTCGGTATACAGAATCTCTACCTATTTCTGTATGCTGCTTTTCCCAGCTGCTTCTTTTACTGAGTTCCAGTCTCCTACTTCTGTGCTCTGCAAAGATCCTGATGGGGATTTTGATCCTTTTAATACTGCCAGGCGTGTTCTGTGGCCCAACACGCGGCTCATCCTGGAGAAGTTCTGTGTGTACTTGCCAAGTGGGTATTTTGTTGCATCAAACACCCTGCCGACGGCTGCTGGGTCCCTTGGGTCTGAAGCAGAGTTCGAATCCAACGTTTCCTCACTGATCTTGTTTGGGTGACCTGGACGTTGGTGAACCGGTGCTGTTATAATCTCGCTCTCCCTTCAGAGGCAGCCACACACGCTCCGTATATTTAGGTGTCCTGATGCTGGGGCCTGCTTGCTTGCCACTGCTACGTCCTCCTGACGCGCTGGCCCTCCCATCATTCCATAGGGATGGATGCCAAGTCGCAGGTGACAATGCATCACGCCGAGCTGCCCTTCCTGTAGTTTCTGACTTGGAGCCTATTTTGTCTGAAGCAACTGCAGCCGCTTCTGCTCCTTTTGGTTCCCATTTACATGAGCCATCTGCCCCATCCGTTCACTCTCAGTCCACGCGTGTCCTTGCAGGTAAAGGAAACTTCTTGCAGGCAGCACATACACTGTTTTTTTAAAAGATTTATTTTTTATTTATTTGAAAGACAGAGTTACAGAGAGAGGTAGAGACAGACAGAGAGAGGTCCACAATGGCTGGAGCTGCACTGATCCAAAGCCAGGAGCTTCTTCCGGGTCTCTCTTTCCCCAGGGTGCAGGGGCCCAAGGACTTGGGCATCTTCTACTGCTTTCCCAGGCCGCAGCAGAGAACTGGATGGGAAGAGGAGCAGCCGGGACCAGAACTTACACCCACATGGGATGCTGGCACCACAGGCAGAGGATTAACCTACTGCACCACAGTGCCGGCCCCACATTTGCTTATTTTTTCTTTTGCTTGATCAGGCCAGTGCTCAAAACTCTCTATTGCATTTTTTCCTTCTACTCTTGTATTCTTCAGTTCCAAGGTTTCTGCTAGGTTCATGTTTGTTTCTAGGTTCACCTTTTCAGTTTGTTCTTGTGTTGTTTTCCTGAATTAATTTACTTGTGTTCTGTGATGTTCTTCTGGCCACTGGTGATGGCCTCCTTGCTGGCAGAGCGCAAGGCACCACACAGCATCACATGGCAAGAGACTGGTGAGCAAGGCCACGATTGTGGCAAAGCAGGTAAAGCTGCCGACTGCAATTCGGGCATCCCACGTGGGCGCTGGTTCTACTCCTGGCTGCTCCACTTCTGATTCAGCTCCCTGCTAATGGCCTGGGAAAAGCAGCAGAAGATGGCCCCAGTGTTTGGGCCCTGCACCCACATGGGAGACCTGGAGGAAGCTTCTGGCTCCCAGCTTTGGCCTGACCTAGACCTGGCCGTTGCAGCTACCTGCAGAGTGAACCAGCAGATGGAAGCTCGCTCTCTCCCCCTCTCTCTGTAACTCCTAAAAATAAATAAATATATCTTTAAAGAAATAAAAATAAAAGGATAGCATTCCTGTCTGTCTGGTCTCTCCCCCTTTTTGCAAAACCACCAGGATTCCTCCATAATGCCTCATCTAAACCTGACTTCCTCCCCAAACATTTGCAGTTTTAATATCTCACAATGATTAAATGTCAATACACAAAGCCCTGGGGTGACATGCAAATCTCCCCAAACCACAGATGGTGCCGGATTTTCTGATTCTTCATGATCCTTGCAGACTTGGTGAAGGAGCCTACAAACTTGATGAAGTCATCTCTTCTGCACCTTAGGGTGGCTTCTAAGGAAAGCTATTCACCTGAAGGGGTAGGGGGATAGCGACCTGCTGGGGGGCACTGTGAGAATTCGAGTCTCGGACTCAGGGAGCTGGTGTCTGTGATGTTGGCACCTATGTGATTCTTGGGGTCAAAAGCTGGGGGGGTGGTCTTCGTGGCTATGAGGGCTGCTGGAGTCCCCAGCTGTGTCTCTGGGTCCAGCAGCCAGGGGGTG